CAGTTTCTTCATCATGCGATCAAGGACACCAGGGTCCTTCTGGTTCTGCAAAGATAACAATAACCATCATGATACCACTACTATTAATAATATATTAATTTATATCACACTTTCTAAGATGCTTTCCATTACGTTGCCACATCTTAGTCTCACAAGAATGTGTGGTACAGGGTAGGGGTTAGTAACATTCCCACTTCCCAGACACAGAGGCGGACTCAAACAGGTGAAGTGACTTGCTGAAGGGGAAGACCTGCGACCAGAACCCACGTTTTCTGGCTCCCAGCCCAGGGTTCCTCTGTGACGGCCAGGGGTTGTGCAATTTCACAAAAGCAGTGGAACACCTTTTTCAAGTATTGCATGCAACCGCAGTGTACAGACTGTAGGGAAGTGGAGTGATTCGAGGTGGAAAGAGGATGCAGGCCCGATCCGCCTCCCCCTCCTCCGCTCAGCCTAGTGGCCAACACATCAGGCACTTGCAGCCACTAGCTGCATATGGCTGTTTCAATTAGGGATTTAGAAAGTCAGTCCGTAAGTGGCACCTGCACCTAGTGGCTCCCACATCGGATTGTGCAGATATGCAGAACATTATTTCCATCATCACAGAAAGTTCCATGGGACAGGGCTTCCCTAGAGGCTTTGGGATGGAGGAATAAAATTTGAAACTATCCTATTACACCATTTACCATTTCGTATGCCTTTTCCCTAAATGAAAGAAAAAAATTACCATTCCCTGTGTCATGTAGTTTGATAACTTTGATCTTTAAAATATATCTTATGCAAAGAAAAGAAGAAAAGGTCCTTTCACGGTCACGCAGAGCTCACTCAGAGGCCTAGGGGCTCAGCCTTATCTATGCAGGCCCCCGGCTTAGAGTGAATGAAAAGGAGGCAGAGTGTGGGCCTTCACTTCTAGCCATTCTGCCAGTGTCTTATTTCGAGCTCTGGTTAGTTTGGGGGCCGGGGGCTGGGAGCAATACCTTTGTGAAGGCAGCCAGTTCTGTATTCATGAAGGTCAGGAACTCTGTCTTGGAGAGCGTGCAGTTGTTACCCTCCTTTCCAGCAAACTTCTGGAAAACAGCAATCAGAGACTCGATGCACCGCTCGGTCTCAGTAGGGCTGGACATTTTTGCCATGTGTTCGCTGGACTGGCGAGGACGGTGCGTCCGGCGGCGGAGGCGCTGCGAGTTCTCCCAAGATTTTTTTTTTAAGTAGGCTCCATGCCCAACGTGGGGCTTGA